AAAAACCAGTGGATCACAGGCTGTGAACATTTAAATAAATTGTTTTGTTGGTCTTGTACACTATTAGCTTGTGGACAGGACAAAACTCAGGAGTAATTTCTTAACATAAGAAATTAACAATAAATTTTCAAATCTTAAACTAAATATAAAAAATTTAAAGCCTTAGCTTGTGGGTTATTTATAATTTTTTAAAAATAGATAAAATTATCAATTTAGCAAAATCAAAATCAGCAGTTCAGTAGTTGTTTCTTTTTCAAACGTGAAGTTCTAAGTGTTGGAAGCAACTGTCTGGCTTGTGGCTTGGGATGTACACTAAGCTTCGTAAGATATTTGCCTATGTATGCTCAGGTAACATCCTTTACTAGTGGGATGTTTAAATTCTTATAGATATTGTTTTTTACGTACTACTGGGCTCCTGTTATTTTAAGTGTGATGAAGTTTTGCAGTCTTTGAATCCTTTTAATATTTGTAGAGCAAGCTGAACACCATAAATTAATTCCACAAATCCATATGGGTTTAATGACACAGTTGTATAGAAAGGCTTTGTTTTCAAGGCTTAGTTTACTATTTGGGTTCATAAGCCAATAGAGCTAATTAAACTTTAATTTCATTTGTGTTTTTTTACTATCTATGTGTTTGCTCCAAGTCAACCTTCTATCAAGATGAATGCCAAGATACTTTACGTCGTTTGCTTGCGGAATTGGAGTGTTGTTCAGCGTAACTTGTGGACAAGTCTCTTTTCTTAGTGCAAACGTTATTTGAACATTTTTTGATTCATTTACTTTTATTCTCCATTTGGTCAACCATTCCTCAATAAGACACAGATGAAGTGACATATTCTGAGAGGCCATTTTGGGGTTTCTATGTACACTAAGGATTGCAGTATCGTCTGCAAAAGTTGAGATTTTATGGTTAGAAAAGAGAGGAAGATCGGCGGTGTATAGTAAATATAAAAACAGCCCAAAAACACTTCCCTGAGGAATACCTGCCATTATTTCAACTTCTCTTGAAGTAAAAGAGTTATGTTTCAAACGAAATTTTCTAGAAGTTAAGTAAGAAAGAAATAACCGATGCATGTTTTCAAGGAATTTTAATTTAATTTTCGCAAGTAAGCATTCATGCCAAACCTTGTCGAAAGCTTGAGCAACGTCCAGAAAAATGGCGGTGCAATAATTTTTTCCTGGAAAGCAGTGTGGATTTCACTTGCAAATCTGTGGACTTGTTCTATTGTTCCGTGATTTTGTCTGAAACTAAATTGGTGATTAGGTGTTATTTTATGATGCATTATATTTCCAATTTAGCTAAAATTATTCTTTCGAAGATCTTCGATAAGTGAGGAAGAAGACTTATTGGCCTGTAAGAGGTAGCCATTGTTGGGTCCTTTCCTGGTTTTGGAATCATTTTTATCAGAGAAACTTTCCATTGCTTTGGATAATAGCCAGTAGCAAGAATATTATTAAATATTATGGTTAAAAATAAAACTACCTTGTCAGGGAGAAATTTTATCATTTTGCCTGTAATATGATGCCTTCTTAGGATTTGAATTTGTTTGAGTTACTTCTTTTACTTCATAAATACTTAGTTTCAGTAGCGAGGCGTCAGCTTTTTGACAAGGTGTTCACAATTTCATCAAAACAGAATTCCAACTATAACGTATTCCCCCTACTTCTAAGTTTTGTCCTTTCCACAAGCAAATAGCGTACAAGACCAATAAAACAATTTATTTAAATGTTCGCAGCCTGTGATCCACTGGTTTTTATTTACCATAAATTACCATAGATTTCGACATTTTTACAACAGGTATCAAATTCTTCATATCTGGAGTTGGTTTATTCGTTTTATGAATTAAAATCTTTTTTTCAGAAGATCGTTTAAAAAAGACATTGAATCAAATCTTTAATCACACATTTATCCATTTCTAAATATTATTTTTCACTTCAAATTTCTTTAATCTCTTTCATTACTTTTACTATTTGCTAGTATAAAATTACAATAATGACTTTGTTTTGATTTATTTCCAACCTCTATATAAGAGTAAGAAACTCTCATGCATTCATTTACTCTTTTACTTTGTATTTACAATGCCCGGTTCAGTTTTTATACTGAACCATTTCCCCATATAAAACAGCAACCGTGACTTTGATTGTATTTGCACGCTTTGTATAAACTTTTGGTTCAGTTTAGTCGAGTGAACCGCTAGTCAAATGTAAAGCGATTTTCACTCAGTCATTTCTTTTCTCTTTTGTATTTACTTTGCCTAACCTTGGAGGTTCACTTTTTTTATTGAACCGCTTGCACGCATTAATTTAAGAGTTATGATTATTTTCCGTACATATTTTGCGGGGCTTCTTTTCTCTTTTATTTTTCTATTTGTTTGTATGTTTTGTATTTATTCAATATTGAACATAATCCCAATGTGAATGTTATTTCATTTGCATGCTTTGTAAGCAGCGCGGTGCAGTTTTTATTCTGAACCTTAATATATTTTAAGAGGAATGTGTTTTCTCTTTTATTAATTATAAATAATGTTGGGTGTAACTAACATATGTATATGTGATTTTGTTTGTATTGTACGTTTTGTGTTTATGTTAATCTGTTTGGAAAAGCTATTACAAAAAATGTTAAGTAGCAACATAGCAAAATTATTTAACTAATAAAAAAAAATCTAAAAAGGAAGCTTTGTTAAGGTGTTCAGTGAACACTCTGAACCATTCGACGCCTCGCCTCTGCTTAGTTTAATTGAAGCTTTCACCTTTACTGGAAAATGAACTCTAGGGTGGAAGTTGACTACTTCTAGATTTGGTTGAAATACTGTTTTTAAGTAATTAACTAGAACAGATCCCTTTTCTTCATTACTTTTAGCCCATGATCCGTCTAGTTTTCGGATGCGAGTAACATTTTGAATAGGAATTTTCAATTTTTTGAATGCTTTCCACAAAGTATAATTGTTTTCTTTATTAGGTCCAATATTCACTAAATAGTGCCGTACTGCCAAATTTCTATGATTGTTGAGTGTTTCTTTAAGTAATGTAGTGAATTCATTAAGTCTTTGTTTAGCGTTAGGAGAACGAAACTCAATTTCATTGTGAGAAACAACTTCCGAACTAGCGATTTTTCTGTAAGTTGAGGTATCTTTTATCGCATTGGTTATTGTTTTATTCAGTAATTTCACCGCTTTATCAATACTTGAATGACATCTAAGATCTGTAATTTGAGGTATGCGATTCTGCATTATGTTAGTATAATATGACCAGTTAATAATTTTTTTTTGCTGATCTGACATTCTGTATCCTTTCTATTTAGTTTTATCAAAGTTAAAATAACCGGAGAGAATCTGAGGATAGATCAAATGATGGTACTGAAGTTAAATCTTTTCTACTTAGTCCTTTAATAACACTAAAGTCAATCAAGTCAGGTATTTTATGTTGATCAGTTGGCCAATACGTTGGTTGACCTGAGGAAATAATATCAATATCATTCTTAAATGCCATGTAAAGCTGTCTGCCTCTTGGTGAGATTAGTCTCGAACCCCAAAAAGTGTGCTTCGCCAGCCGCTACAAATTTGGGACCTAACATATTAAAAAATGTACGAAATTGGGCCGTAGTTACAGTAAGCCGTGGAGTACAGAAAATAGCAGAAAAAACTATTTTATTCAGACCAGTTTTTACACAAATTGAGGTAGCTTGCATGTGTTTTTCACTATATTGCTCTAATTCAAAGTGGTGAACAGTTTTCTTGATTAATACGCCGGTGCCTCTCTGAGCTTTTTTATCTGGATGTTTGGTGTCATAAAATTTGTAACCATTTATCCGAAAACAATTTTTTTGCTTTAAGTGAGTCTCTGATAACAGCATAATATCTATGTCATTTCTATATAGATAATAGATTTGTATATGGGCTGAGGTATGCGATCTCTATTTAATATGTTATGTACGCTGTTTACGTTAAAATAAAGTTCTTCAAGAGCTTCTTGAATTTTAATTGGGTCTACTTCAGGATCTATTCCATTGATTATTACAATAAGACCTTAACCAGATTTTAGTTGGTAAGAGTAGAATTTCTTGTTGCGTTTCTCAAAATCATTAACTACTTGTCGGAAGTGGTCTTCTTTGTACACTTGGAGCTTTTACTAATCAACAATGAAGAGCTTTTATTTGATATTGTGCTTTCGTGAGCAAGAGTGTGTGTTACTATATTTGAGTTTTTTAACGATTCGAATATCGATTTATTCATTGGAGTATGTGAAGTGTTTATTTGCGCGGGAATTAAGGTGATTTGATAAATGTCCTTTATTTTCAAAAAATTAGTATTCTCACTTTTGTTGAGTTTACTTGATTTTAAATTTAAATCACTAGAATTAAATGGCATTAACAAATCATTATTAAAAACATTATTTTTGTTCTGGGCTTGCTTTGATTCTGGAAGGGAATGAGCTACGCTCATTGAGCTTTGAAACTCAGAAAACTTTTTTGTTTGTTTACAATTTTAGAGGGAAAGTCCAGCAATTAAATTATGATTAATAAATAAGAAAATACACTTTTAATGAATTTAAAACATAAAAGAACCTTGGAATAACTTTTTGTTTTTAACTTAGAATTTGGAATAATTTTACACTCGATTTCCATCGCTGATTATTAAAAACTGCTTTACATTTCAAATGTCCTTAGCAGTTTTCAACCGAGCCAAAATGAAGCAGTAAATTAATTAAAACCAAGACACTGAGGATCGAATAATATCTGATAGTCGTGCTCAATGCACTGAAAAGCGCGAAGTTGTCTATTAGTTTCCCAATGAGTATGTAAAATCTATTGATTGGTTTGAGGATCAGTCTACTGTGAAGCGTTCATTTTGCTTAAACCGACACACCATAAGTCAAGTTAAGAAAATTAATTATATCTTCTTAGGTATACATAGACAGTAGTTTTGTTTGTTTAGAGGTCTATGAAACAATGTTAATAGAGATAAAATAAATATCCATCATCTTAAAGCAAAATCATAATTAATGAGAGTTATAAAAAAATTTATTAATTAATTTGCTGTTGTGTTCAAATAATTAATGTATATACAGACATAATAAAACAATGAACAAATTTCGATTCAATGTGGATCAGCGTGCAACTGAGGCACTGGCACTGGCACTGGCACTGGCTTCAGCGACAACACCTAGTTGCGCGTCTCCCTGAGCTGAAGCATCTCCAGTAGAACCAGCCGCACCACCGCCATATGAACCAGCAGCACCACCTCCATATGTTGAGCCAGCATCTCCATTACCTGGAATTAGTGAAATGTTTTAATTGAATCCCATATTTAGAAATATTATCCTTATCCTAACATGTCGTTATGCTGAATAGGAAGAATCCTAATAATAAAATCTTGTTCATTTTGATTTTTAGTTTCGTTCTCGTTTAGTACTAACTATACAAAATAAAATCGAACTATTGTACAGATAGATCACGTTTGCTCGGGTATATATACTATTCGGAAAACAGATTTATAGTTTTCAGAAATTGAAGGTCACTTAGCAAACGCTTACGTTACACACGAGCAATTCGATACGCTCATTACAAGTGTTAAGTAGCGGAACCTTTTAGTTTTCTTAACAGATTTAACAAATTTGTTATTTTATATCACAAAAAATTGACTAAAAGTTCTCTAGACTTTCTTCTATAAATTGAAGTTAATGAATAGTTAGTGCAAGACTAACAAAAGGGTTAGCAAAGAATAAGCAGATAGATGAATTTTAGATAGCTTTTTTATAAAATTAATCTACGGTCAACTAATCAATTAAACTTCCTAAGCTTCTTTACATGTGCCCCTAGGGGTACCGGTTTTCGTTTACGTGAAGACCGTTAAAAGAAGCAGTTACCTACACTTTTTTAGCCTGTTTATAGTAAGTGGAAAACACTTAGGTCATGTGCTATTTCTCGGTTAACATGGCCCACTTCTAATTAGACTATATTTTGGGAACTTATCAAAAGCGATCGTGCGAATACTGCAACGCTTACTGTAGTATTGTCTAGTCATTGGTGTCTATGAAATTATACATAGAAACTGTGTATTTTTTTAATACCTATTGCAGAATAAATCATTTTCTCTCTGAATGCTCTGAATGATGAATTTAGTCTGCGTATTAAGGTTTCTTGCCAGTAATATAGTAGCAATACGGTGAAAATCCGGTAATTCAAGTCAACGGAAAGTTAATTACTGATCCACCACTTTAACCAGCCAACCAAACTTTCCGAGCTCAATCAAAACTGGAGAAGAAAAGAAAGATTTATGCTTGTTCGTTAATTTCGTACCGAAATCGTTTCGGTTTACTTCAGCTTCATAAAGACATAACATTCATGTATTCTTTATATAGGTGAAAAATTCCCAACTCTTGCAAATAACAATCTATTTTGAAAAGATTTGTAAAATTAAGAACAAGCAAAGAAGAATGAAAATTTTTTCTTATGAATGTGTCGGTTGAGGAGATAATAACTTATTTGCTAAAAGGAATAGGATAGAAACAAATTCTCCTAATTTTTTGATTGCAGTTTGCAGAGAGCAATTCAATTGCCTTAATTTATATTAAAAGAAATAAGAATTATATTTAAAATTAAAAAGGATGTAACGGGCAAAAAAGTGTGCCCTAATGGAGAAGTGATGCGAATATATAGCCTAGCCTGTTCAAATGTCAACCTCACCTACACGTGGCGCATCCTGTTTTTTGCATACGAGGCTCTGGCGACCGAGTACAGGCGGTAAAACCTGAAAAAAATATAAGTGAGCGGAAATTCTCTAACTATTTAACACCAATCCTATCTCCGGGTTAGCGAGGAGATCTGGCCATCCAAGTTGGGGGTTGATCGCAAGGCCAGCAACCCTGCATCGGAAAAATTTTACCACTACGCAACCCTTAGACATACCTCGGAACAATGGAAGGATACACGTTGACGGACTATGGCGACGAAATTTGGACTTAAGATTTGAAACATGGAACGTATTAACGATGTTAACATCAGGAAAAATGATGGAAATAGCTGATAAAATGCGCAGGTATAGCCTCAAAATACTCGCAGTTCAAGAAGTAAGATGGGCGGAATATGAAAAAATCGACAAGAAAACATTTTCATTTTACTATAATGGAGTTAAGGGCAACACAGGAAGAAAAGGAACCGGTTTCTTTATTGACAAAAAAATTAAGGGTAGTATTATGAGTTTTGAACCTATAGATGAAAGAATATGCAAGCTTCGAGTACAAGGTAAGTTTAATAACATCACTTTCATAAACTGATACGCCCCTACAGAAGATAGTGAAGATGAAGAAAAGGAACATTTCTATGATACTCTGATTAAGGCAAGCAAAAATGTGAATAAGTATGATACAAAAATAATACTAGGCGACTTTAACGCGAAACTAGGTAAGGAACCATTCCTTAATGAAATATGCGGAAAAAATTTACTATTCGAAGTAACCAGTCCTAATGGGTTACAACTTGCTCAGCTTACACAAAAACTAAATTTCAGAATAATGGGCACCTTTTTGAACACAA